ATATTTTCCTTATTTTTAATGGAATTTAAAAAAATATTGCTTCTATTTTGTTCCACTTTTTCTGTGCTTGTCTTCCCGTTAATGTTTATGCCAAGAACCATTGTGAAACCTCTCCAATATCATCGATCCATCAATACGGTTTATCATTTCTAGATGTACACTGCATGCACATTTTGGGTTCATAATTAGGCAGGAAAAAAGTCAGACCCGTAAAAAGCAAAACTCAGCCCGTTAGGTGCTGGGTGGCAGAATCAAACGGAGGCGGTGGGAGGCTGTGAGCTGCCTGAGGATCTCAGTCCTGGCTGTAGTCAGGAACGACAGATGGTGTTTGTCAAGAGGATAGAGCCTTACCTTCTTATTTTATCATGGAAATATCACAGTAAGAAAACTATCAAGAGTCACTATTTTATCTAAGAGATTTAAGAAATGCATCCCACGGGAAAAAAAAAGCCAGAATTCCTGCTCGAAAACAGACCGCCAGATGCAGCTGGAAATCCCAGTTAAAAGATGCAGTTTTGTTTATCAAGAGACATTGTCAGCCATTGCGTATCTTTTATTTTCTCATTAAGGAAATGCACCGAGCACATACAGAGATTGCATTCAATACAGATTTATCATTACAGAACAATCAGAAAATAAAGATACAATCAATATGTATTTCCTGTAGCAGAACAGATTGAAGGAACTGGTTCAAGCTGAGAATGAAATTAAAAATACTTACACCAACTTAAGTGATTTTTACACAGATGAGATATTGAAGTCTAAATTAACATTCTCGGCCAAGATCTGTTGCACTGTTGCAATCTTTATATTGAACAGCTTTATCAGACTTGTGCCTAGCAACTAAGCATAGACCAGAAGCGCCTTATCTGAGAGCCCATTCGAGCAAAACCCCAGAAGAATAGTCCCAGTCTAAAGCCACAATCTACACGAGATGATGAAAGGATCCATAGAGAGGAAAGAGTACAATCAAACAAGGAGACAGTCTGGTCCATGTGACAGGCAACAGCCACAAGGCAGGCTGGGGTTAGACTCTACGTGGAGGTTTCACTGATTTCACTTGAAGAAGCTCTCTAGACTTTGTAACCTCAATAAAATTTGGGGGAATGTGCAGAATTCTATGACACATTGCCTGGATTTGATTTTTCAAAGAATTACACTGAAAAAAAGTCACAACACAAAGCTAGTGGAAAAACTACTTTGCCACGTATTTTGTGAGTTCCATAAACTTGGCAACCAAGTCTATTTCCAAATGAGCAACTAAAACTAGAACTGGAAAGACCACCTCTACTTCAATTGCACCAGCTGGACTTTAAGCCAGTCTTATGCATGTCGTGTGCCAGAGATCAGACCGGATCATCACAGTTGGACATTAAAATCTACAAATGTCACTCATCCGCTCGTCTGTCCCTCTGAGTTTTGAATCAAAGGCGATACCACCCTGCTCTCCAGTATCATAGACCCAAGACCCTGCTTAGTGTTATCACATCGTGCGTTATCTCACTTCTCGTCTTGCCTAGTTTCAGCACAATCACTTCAAAGGACCGTCTGCCTACTAGCTAGTGATGAACAATGTGGCCCATTTTGGATCATTTCCTTGGTAAGACTGCAATGAAAGGGATTAATAAAAATTTTGATTTAGTTCCTTACATCTCCAAGGATCTCCAAGTAATTTAATCCACTTTGCAAAATGAAAAGGACATATAAACCACCACAGATCAACTCAATCACGTCACTGAAGGGGGAGATACATACTCTTATTCTCAAAGAATGAAGTTTAGGACAGTGAAGAATTAACTACATAGTTGAAACCGCAAGAAGAATTTCGATAAACAAAAATGTTATTGCTCAAGTTATAATTTGCCTACAAGATGGGGATTAACCGCTTGTTCTCAAACCGGCAGTAGAGACAGAACAAGCTGATCTTTGGAGGGAGCTTACCCGTTCAAAACGACTTCCAAGCTCCTTTTTTTTTCTTCTTCTTCCAATGTTGTGAAAAGATTCTCAAAGGATCAGAAAAGATAATATAACATGCCTCCATGCACTGTTCTCTTAATGACCTTCTCTTACCAGTTTGTATTAATACTAAATCATCTTTATTTCAAGTTTTCTGGCTGCGTCCAGTTCACAAATGTTCTCTGAAAGATTAATTTGCTTGCTAGAATCTTCAGTCACTTTGTGCTTGAAAATTTTAGCTTGCTTTTGAATGTCTGCCAACAGTAAACAGCATTTGGAAGACATTGGCCCTTTACCCTACTACAAGGTTACTTGCAGCTAAGATTTCTCCTTCTCTTTTTACATACTATCTAAATTGTAGGAAAATGCCACGTATTCGCCCAATCAACCCCTTACGATAAACAAGAAGAGGGCAGCGTTTCTTACATATAGGTCAAGACATATTTAGCAGATGGAACAATTTTTATCTGAACGTCTCAGGTCTGCCTACTGCTTTTTGCCTACAGAGAAATATGGTACATGGAGTAACGTGATTAGGAAAACTAATCATCCCTTTCTAAGAAGGCAGACTTGTTGCTTCAGGATACTCTTTTTTTCCCCCCCTCTCATGTCAGCTTCAACAACGGGTGCCACAGCAACGTAAAGACGAGGAGAGAGAAGTAGCTCGCGGAGGTGGTGACTCTTGAAGCCAGGCTTTTTGCATTGCAGTTGTTTGAGTAGCAGCAGTGAACGCTCACTCCGGGTGCTCTGGATCCGTCCCTCCTTGCCCGCTCGCAGAAGGACCTGAACGAACAGGACTTCATAACGCCGCCTACAACAGAGCCACATTGAACCCAAACGGTCCCGCATGTTCACGGCCACCCGCTCCTCCCTGCATCTCCTCAGCATGACCCTGCCCATCCCATCTTGAGCAACAACATCAGGTTTGGCCGTTCCTTACAAGTAAATGAATACAATTGCATCAGATTACAGCACACTAACACGCTCCCACTTAAGTTAAATAACTGTAATTTATCTTAGATGCAACTGATGAGCTTAAGTATCTCTGAACGTGCTCAAGTGGAGCGCCTCGTTAGCTTCTTTTCCTTCCTAATTTCCAGGTAAGTAAAAATGACAGATTTAAGTAAGAAGTGGGCAATACTTAACATGCTTTTTTACAGTTTTCACATAGTGTGGCTATGGCTCATCATGGCATACTGACAAATCATTCTCAGTGGGATTTTGTATCAGATTGCCGCTAAACCAATAAAATTAGGGACTGAGATTTATTAATACGGTTTATTTTGAGAGGCAACATTTACCTTTTTCTCCTTAGCTTACTATATACTCTTCTCTTTCTAACACTGATTATTTATTTCTATTATTAAAAATTTAAAGAGTCTGAACTGTTTGTGACTACTTACTTGCTTGTCCTCTAATGACCGCACATGCATCTGAATGCCCAGGACATTGCTGAGCTCCTTGTCTGTTACAGTCTTCATCACTAGAACCCACACAGGTGTAACACTGCAGTGCTTCGCCTGGCATTAAGGAAAAAAAGACCACTTATAACAGTAGGGTTTAGTTTACCAAAAAAATATTTTAAAATATCAGAGATACAGTCTTTCTAATTTTGTTTGAAGCATATGCAAAAAATTGCAAAACGTTTAAAAAAATCTAAAGTTTCTGCAAATGCTATCAATTTTTCTTTTTTAGAAATGTCCCAGATACTGATTTTAAAGATTAAAAAAAATCACCCATGTATTATTTAGTTGTTACAATTTCCACTTAAAATTATCCAAGAACATCTGGTGTTCTACAATTGCATCCACACCTTCTTGTAACATTTTCAGAGCAGAGTCCATTGTAACAAGTTGGACTATGACGTTTTTTCCCCCTCCATCATGATCTTTGGTCCACAGTACCATGGAAAAGTACATTGTAAACACATAAAATCTTACTATGATCCATATTTCATTTTCTCCTAAAGTATCAATTCAGCTGGAAGGCACAACAGTCTACCTTAAGAGTTTTGCTTTTGTTTAAACATTACAACCATAACTCAATCCTCCTGCTTTTCCTTGGTTCAAACTACATGGTATTTTCTAAGGCAAGCATGAATTTGAAATTTATTTCAAATACCATACCACAAACTTGCAGAGCAGAAGGCACTGGACTTGCTGTCCACAGGGACATATGCATTTAAATTCGTTAGCATACATATTTATGTTTACATTACACAGCAGAGGTGAAATTCTGTGTCACTAACCACATATACAAAATAATCTGAAACCAAACCAACCCAGAAGCGAAGCCCAGAACAGCAAAGAGGCTCAGCCATGCCTGAAGTAGGAAATGAAAAACAAATTGAAAAAGGAGAGAAAAGGGAGTTGACTTACTTTTGAGTACAAAAAGGGAGCTGACAAGAACCAGGCTGAAGACTGTCCACATCATGGAGATACAAGAGATGCACCATTAGCCAAAGAAAGCAGTTTGTTTGCTATTAAAGCCTTAATGCTTATCTTGCATACCTAATCCTCTGCAGAGGATAACTTGTAGGATAAAGAAGTGTGCGAGAATGCTACTTATCTAGCTTATTTTGGTTGTACTTCTAATCACACGTACTTCATCTCCACAAACCCTGCAGGCAAATTCTTCCACTAGCAGGACAAAGAAAATGTATTCACCTCTCAGTGACAGATATGCTTAAAAACCACCACCCCATCATCGTACGTCACAGCCTCCAACTCAGGCAAACAGTCTCATTACATTTGCCTATGGGATTTGCTGGATCAGGGTCAGAGTATTAAATATTTTGGAGGATTAAGCCTATGCTTGAGACCAGAGTGGTCCAAATCCAGCATATATATATATATTTATAGAGAGGGCAAGATGTAGACGTAGATACGTGCACATAAGGAGTATGTTCTTGTGATCCACAGAGCGCTCCAAGCAGTGACCCATGAAGGGCTTTCTGTGAAGGAACTCATTAATAAGAGCTGCCGTACCTGGTGCTGCACACAAAGTAAGCAAGTGAAGTACATAAAATAGAGCCATGCTTATCTTCAACTTTCAACGAAAAAATTTATTTACAATAGAGAATTTCATTTAAGTGACATGCATTTTCTTTTTTTTTTTTTCATTTTAAATTTTATTTTACAAATCAGCAAATGCAGATAAAGTTTACACTCCTTAAGGCAAGAGTCCCCATGCAAGTAATACATGTTTATATTAAATCCAAAAGACATCCAACATGGGAACTCATGTACAAAGGGAAGGCTAGGATCAGCAATTTGTAATTTCTTAGAGAACTTGACAATCTCCCTGATACAGGAACTTTGAGATCAACTTGCTATGAATTATACTATGAAAATGCAAACAATAGCAAGAAATTCTGATAGTCATCTTAGTACTGCATACAATTAAATCAACTTTATTTAGAAAGAAAATACAGTAGTGCATACGAAAAAGTGAAAATATAACCTGTCCACATAAATGTATGGACATCAGTGTGCCAATGGTCATATTGCACTCAATATTGAAGTCCAGAAATTTGGTTAAAAGTTAGCTTTTCCCCATTTTGGCAATCAGTTCATCACAAATCTTTGTTAATTCTTCTATCTCTTTATTCTGGAAAATAAAAGGCAATATTAAGTATTATTACAAATATTGCTGCAGTAAGATGAGTATTTTTTTTTTAATTATCCAACCTTTGGGAGAAGTGTGGGACAAGTAAGTTTTCTCCAATAGTGAGAACAGAATATCTATACATATAGAGAGATATATAGATATATATGTGCATACATAGTACAGCTACGTAGAGTACATTCAAACAATATGCTTACTTATTTCCACATACAGCTCCTCCGACCTCAGTAAATACAATTCAGCACTAAAGCAGACAGCTTTATAGCAGTCATTCCTAGGACACGATAATAATACATTGCGTAAATTTGTTTGTAGGCTGCACTTCTATAGCATTATTTTCACCGTATTTTACAGGGGCTGTAAGCAAGGACAAAGCTGTACTATACTGAAAGCAAGCTCCTTTGCTGAGCTAGAGAATACAAGATATAAATAGGGATTTCCTACAGTCACCTTTGCCCTAAGCTGTACAGATCCATATCTTTGGGGTGCATGAGGAAGAGTGTGGCCAGGTCGAGGGAGGTTCTCCTCCCCCTCTGCCCTGCCCTGGTGAGGCCACATCTGGAGTGCTGGGTCCAGTTCTGGGCTCCCCAGTTCAAGACAGACAGGGAACTACTGGAGAGAGCCCAGCGGAGGGCAACGAAGGTGATGAGGGGACTGGAGCATCTCCCTGATGGGGAAAGGCTGAGGGAACTGGGTCTGTTCAGCCTGGAGAAGAGAAGACTGAGAGGGGATCTGATCAAGGCTTATAAATACCTTAAGGGTGGGTGTCAAGGGGATGGGGCCAGACCCTTTTCAGTGGTGCCCAGCGACAGGTTAAGGGGCACCGGGCACAAACTGAAGCTCAGGCAGTTCCACCTGAACATGAGGAAGAACTTCTGAACTCTGGGGGTGGCCGAGCCCTGGCACAGGCTGCCCAGAGAGGCTGGGGGGGCTCCCGCACCCTCCTGGACACGATCCTGTGCAACCGCTGTAGGTGACCCTGCTTGGGCAGGGGGTTGGACGGGGTGATCTCCAGAGGTCCCTGCCAACCCCCACCAGTCTGGGATTCTGTGATCATTTTGTCTATGTTAACAGTGGAGCTAGCACTGGAATTACAGCTAAAACTAAAAATGGAAACAAAACCTGAAAGAACAACTAAACCAAGAAGATCTTAAATGCGAGAACCAAAGCAAACCAAGGGCCTTGCCTGGTACACAGGTGCACAATGAGCTTTCACTGAGCCTGAATCAGTTCCGGGCGCTGGCCGGTGGCTGAGATCAAAGCCTGGCAGATGGGTCCGTTTGCCTGAACTGCCCGGTGCATGCAGTTGATTTTGTTCTCAGGTTTGGGCAATGCTGTTCTGCCTGGGGCCAGGGAGCTGCCGGGCCAGCTGGACGTGGGGAGCAAGACAGGTCCTCAGGCAGACCTTGGCTGCAGTCTGAGCTCCAGAAGAAAGCTGGATACAGCCACTCGGGGGAAATTTCACTTAACTTTGGTCATCCCGTTGACTTCTGCATTAAAAGAGCTGAATTGCTATTTACCTTTTGTTCCAGTGTTCTTTCCAATGCATCCACTTTCAGCTGCTCTTTACGAAGGCTGGCCTGATATGCTGCTTGTTCTTGCTGAGCCTTGCCTCTCACTTGTGCAATTTCAGCATTGGCTCTAGAAAAACACAGATTTTTGGCACGTCACGCTCTCTAGAGGAAAGGACAGCGGGGACTGAAGGACGGACTGCACCTTAACAGATGGGTGGTGAGGGCAGGGCTACTTTCTGCATGCCTTTGAAAGTATTCTGAGACTTCTCCCTAGAGACTTTTCATGACTCCCTCTCTTGCTCAGCAGAGGCTGCAAAGTCTTTTCTTAATGTCTGTGTCATTCCCTTCATGCTTCTTTCAGATACCTGTGCTGGGGTCACAAATATCACTTAGGTAGAAGTGTTTTATGGCAGTTTCTAAACCTGATCTCCAGTTCTTACAGACTAGACTCACAGCTAGGACAACAGCTGGAAAGCAAATCAATGTCTTAACTTTTTTTAGGCACTGATCGATCCTAGTGATATTTTGGAAACACCTCTTGGGCCGAAGGGACTGCAAGATGAGTCCTGAATGTAATCCCTAGAAATGCTTCATTTGTCATTACATGGAAGCATAGGGGGGTAAAAAAAAAATTTCAACCAGAGCTGCCTCTCTTAAGCCATGATCTGATGTTTGCTCCTTAACGGTGGCTTAAGGAGTTACTACTTGTGCACATCTGGCATGATCTTTTGTGCAACTATTCCTCGTCGCCTTCAGCACAAGTTGGGCTGATCCAGCTTAGAGAACCGGTGTTACTAGGGAGAGACCTCCTGACTGACTGCGCTCAAACAGCCGAGCAGCACTTACACCTTCTGTTCTGCTGATTGACGCAGGGGCAATAAAACAGCACAGGGGCAACAGCAAATCTCTGGGGGCAGGAATACAGGCTGCCGGTGCAATATCTGACCACAGCCCTCCATAGCTGCATAAACCTAGCTAATGGCTTCTTTCTTGATCTTCCCTGGAAAATACGTTAAAGAAACAAAGGCATTTGATAAAGATAGAAATTTAAGGTGTTCTATGGTCAGGAGCTGGAAGAAACACCAGGGCATTACAGAAATTCTCACTACGGCATTTCATTCCACCCCCCATCACAGAGCAGCCTGTGCTCTGCACGTTGAAGGAGCAGGTTTGGGCTGCAAGGTCCAACCACAGGAATCCTCCTGCAGCATGAACTCCTGAAAAGAGATGTGTACAATCAATTACCTGTCCAGTTTTTCCTCAGCGTGAATTTTGAGTGCTTGATACCTCTGCTCTTCCTTCTTTACTCGTGATAAATATTCCTGCGCACATTTCTTTAACACTTCTTCATTCTTAAATGAGAAGATTACATTAAATTTAATCCAAGAGGTTGAAGTGTAGGACAGGCGGCTATTTGTGGGACTGACATTCAGATATTTTAAGAAGGGCTGCGGTCTAACACTAACACCTTCACACAGAGGCCACCTGAAGCAATATTACGCAATGCAAAAAGCTTTACAATTCTTCTGTTTGCATTTGATACATGGCTGCAATCCTTCATCTGAGGATCACTTTATGTCAAGCACTTTAGACGTAACCTCTGACTTGAGGAATTCACGTCCTGGATTTTACAGAATGCTCAGTCCAGAAGCCAGCCCTGACACGTGCTCCAGTCCCGCAGTTATGTGACATCCATGGAAATCACAGTGTCACAGATGGGAGCAAGTTACTCTTGTGCAAAATCTTCATTTTTTTAAAGTTATCCCAAAACGAAAGCACAAATGAGCATTTCTGTTCTCCCTCTCCCCAGCACACTGCAGTCTAACGCAGTACATCAGATTCGACTGGAAACAAAGACATGCCTTCTGTTAAGCAGCACTGATACACATGAAAGCCTGCTCAGTTTTGCTCTTTAAAGGAAGGGACATTAACATGACTCACCTTCCGAAACCCCTCCAATACTTCTTTCATTTTTTCATATCTCCTGAAAAGATCTGCCAGTGATTTCTCCACTGAGTTCAGATCTGCCAAAGCTTGTTCCTTCTCCACTATCAGCTGCTGAACAGTGTGATGGGAGACAGATTTCTCTCTCTGTTCATCCTCTGTTAGAAAGAAGAGAGGGGGAGGAAAAAAAGCATTTTTCAGGGGGGTAATAGTAGTAAGAACACTGATTTCACTATCATCTATGGTTTCTACTATACTGTGCTCTATGTTGTGTGTTAGCAAGTTTGTGAGAGCCAGAAAAGTAATTTTTATATAAACACACAAACCTGTTTCGGAAAAAAGGTTGCTAAATACAGTGATACTTAAATATTTTGATGTTGGGGAAAAATGTGAGTATCTCTCTGTACTGGTGATTTATTTCACTCTAAACCCAGCTGTTCCCATGAAAAAGGCAGGTGTTGGATTTCCCTTGTTTACCTGAAGATGCACTAGCTGAAGGAAAGGACATTTATGTGTATTACTAGCACTGGTAATAAATTATTTGCCATTGCTGATATATGCTTGTCATCTCCTGTACAAACAAGGCACTTTGTTTAATGGAATTCAACTCAAATTCTTCCTTTGGAAAAAGAGTGTTTTGCAAACTCTCATTCTTTGGATTACCGTAGCAAGTGCCAGAAAGGAAATCTAACATTAGGCAGACTTTCTAAGTTCTGGTCTGCAGAAAACATCTTCCAAGCTTCTCCTGTGTATAGTTAAATTTGAGGCAGGAATGGTGGGTAGGACACAATAGGAATCAAAGTCCACATGGAAGAGAATTTTTCAAAGGAATTGACCTAGTAATAAATTGGAATACCTGTGTAACACTGGAAGAAAAGGCCTGGCATTGTCTTCCAAAATGCTTCACTGTTTGCTTCATATCCTAAAATATGATTCTTGTGTCCATGTTTTAAGGGCTACTTTGAATGATACTGAACTGAAAACCAACCCGCAAAACACAGCAGTTTTATATTACCGTTTTCCTTTGTCTATGATGGAAACTAAAATAAGGCAAGAAGCTCTCCCATATAAAAAGCATGGGGCATTTCAGAATCTACAACTTTTCATTCAGGTCTTTAAATTTTGAAATGTAAAGAACTAAACAAGAGTTTATTTTTTCATTTGAATAGAAGTCTTCATCTGAATTAACTATTTCATAGTGCTGGTCAGCTCTGAAATGTCAAAGTTGATACTGTCAATTCCCAAACTGAGATTAATCTCTTCCTTTTGCATATTCAATCCTTTCATACACTTTTTTGCTACTCTAACTAAGCCCAGAGCAGCGACGATGCCACACTGCGTGTCAGATCTCGTTGGCTATGTTCTGTGCTCCTCTGCACACCCCTTGAGAGCATCTTGCTGGGACAGAGTCTGACCGGAGGTTATTTTGCTCTATGTGATGCAGAAGATTGAAAGAACCAGAGAAGTTCTCAGAACCTGCACTGAGTTTCCAGCACTGGAAGTTGTAACACCTTTATTTTACTGGTGAACAAAGATTTTTGATATAGCAGAACTGAGAAACCCAGAGCCCTGTAATGCTACATCAGTTTGATAACATTTAACATTTCATAAAAAATAAACACTCTTTTCTATTTTGCCTTCTTAGAGACACTCTGTGATTATCTGCAATGTCAAAATGCATGCATTCTCAAGTAAAATGAGAAAAACATTTGTCATCCTTCGCTTATTTTTCTAAATCTGAGAAGTTGTCACCTTGTGTTCCAGCACAAGATTTATTTAATCACGCTGGAGATTACAGACTGTCTAGCTTAATTTCAAAACACTTACTGGTAGGATCCTGCTCTTTGGCAAAACCCCTGTCGTCGCAACTCCATGCAGGAGAAGGGATCCATTTGCATGATCATGTAACGTACTTAAATGAATTTAATGTCACAACTTTACTTTTTTTGAGACTGCTGTCTGCGGTATTTTAGCAACTTCCTTCTTATTTGTTTCTAGGGCAACCTAGAAAGTTAGTTAATTCATGACTCACTCCCTCACAACTACCGAGCTCCTCCTGTTCCTCCCAGTGCATCGCGGTGCCCTCCTCGCTCCTCAAACTCATCCCAGCCCCACTCCAATTTACACACGGGAATTAGGGGCAAGTGATGGGTGATGCTCCCTTTCTCCTCTCCCTTCTGCTACACGCTAGAGGTGTCCATGGACCAGGGGAGTGAGCTGAGGACTGCATCAAATTCCAAGGGGAAAACAGGAATTTATATTGGGGAAAGGACTGACATATAAATGGAAAAGAGGGAAAGTTTCCAGTGAGCTTTAGGAAGTAATAATGATAATCTCAGATTACGGTTAAGATACATTTAAAACCAAAGTGGTTAAATACTACAGAAAACAGAAACTGGCATCTGGCTGGGAGGGGGACCAGAAGATCTATGTGATATTTTCTAAAACTGTGATTTAACTTTAATGAAAAAGCTGCTTAGTGGAACTGTGCTGCTAATAGTCTGCCAGTCAAATCTTAGTTAAACAGTTACAGATACTTATTTCTAAAGATATTTATGAGGTTATGCGATTAAAATATTTTAATTAAATGGCTTCCATGTCTGCGACACACACTGTCCACGGCTCACCAACAATAACAACAGTATGCTCAGGGCTAACACTATCCAAATTGACAGAATCAGAGCACCACCACAGCAGATCCGCTTTCAGGCTCAGCTCGGTATTACTTACATTACTTAATGGGAATGCAGCAAACGGAGAACAAAAGCAAAAGAAACTAAAAATGCAAAATGCTGGTGTGAAAGTTGGTGAAAAGCTTTACTTACCAGGCTTGCCTGTTTTGTTTTTGCAAGCAAATAGCAAGAAGCAACAAAAACGGAAGCAAAATAGAAAATCAGGAATTGTTAGGAAAGCAGAAAATAAGTAATGCAACAACTTGTAATGCACAAAGCATAACATCTGTTTGTTTTTCATAATGAGAATTTAATTATGTATTTAAACATACAAGTATAAGGATACATTTTTAACAAAAAAACCCAACGTTACAAATCCATCAATAAAAAGGAAATCCATGACAGGGATTTTGGAAGGGAACTGTGGATGGCAGTGACCGAGGTGTGTGTAGAGTGGGGTGCAGTGAATGTTGGGGTTACGCAGGCTCCGTACCATACGGCTGTCAGTGCCACGCAGTCGTGAGCTGCAAAACTTGGGCAACAGTCAGCAAAGCAGTAGCACAAGCAGCAGGCTAGCCTGGAAAGCCTGTTCTCCCCCCCGTCCCCCCTCAGTACAAACTAGAATATGTTTGTTAGGGGCTGAGGCAAGTGTAAGAAAAAAGGAAAAAAAGTTAAAGCACCAGTAAAAAAATATGCAGAGACACTAACAGGGATCTGTACACTGACAGCTTGCAAGCTCTGGCTGTACAGAGTGTGGCACGAAAGTACTTGCATAAGCTAAGTCAGGTATATTGGGTTCCATAGGTATATGACAGCAAATACTAGACCTTCCACAGCCCTTGAAATCAAAGGCAATTACTGTTTGCAATGCATGTTTTCAGTGCCTTTATAGGCAAACATACACAATCATATATTGTTAGTATGGAATATTTTCAATATTCATTATACATACACATGAGAACTGATAAAAAGCTGAGCAGGACCTGTCAACCATACTGAATATTCATTAAAGGGATTTGTGAAATTGGTTCACTTGTAACGCCCTCCTAACAGGGCTGTATAAATAGCTCAGAAGGGTTAAATCATAAATAGAAACAGCACAGGCATTTCTTTTGTTAAAATGCATATTTTGCTTTAGCAGTAAGGCGTTATTGTGATAACAGTTCAGTGAAGTATATGCAAAGAGCACACAGACAATCACTTTCCACCACAACATGGCATTTGGATGAGTGAATTCCTTTATCAAAGGGACAGTAATTTACAACAAATGACAGGAGAAAGTGGGACAATTAGATAAAAAATTTACATTAAATGCAGGGAGAGGAAGCCTGGCGTTTAATGTATTACCATGCTGTAGAATTTGCATACTGCTCTAATTAACACATGCTTTTTGTGTCACTGTTGTTGTTTCAGTTCCTTTGCAAATGGACAGCAAATGACATTATTCATAGCCGTAGCTCTTAAAAACTTGCCATAGATAATTTGAAAGACTCTGACTCATACTCTGAATTTGAAGTTGAAAGATTTTTCTATTTCCTCAGTGGTAAATGGCTCAATGCTTTAATTATCCTGAATTTCTTTGCAACAAGAGGAAATGGCAATTGTAGAATTTACTATGTACACCATGGCTGTGCCTTTGCCTTAGGTCCCCTATTCTATACCTTCTTGGTGCACTGCAGTCTCACAGTTTGAATGTTTTTTTTAAAAATCTGTTTCTTAAAAGTAGAATTTGAATTTGTTATCAAAAAGAAACTTCTGTTGCTAACTATATGCATATGCTTGGGAAAAAAGGACAGGTCCTGTGTTTGTACATATGAATGGCCAGGTTCAGGGACGAAGTCACACCAGAGTATGTTTAGTGTGAACCAAATCGAATTAAGTTCTTTGCATACTCCTATTTTGCACACTCCTATTTTAACACTTGTGTGATGAGAATGACAGACGTTACGCCACAAGGCAGGCAAATTTGCTCAGTTGTACATACAAAAGGCAACGGAGGCATAACAGCATAGAGAATGAAGCCAGGCATATTATTATTATGTATTATTCATTATTACATATTTTATTATTTA